CAGTATATTCAGGCCTACCTTGAACTAAAAATAATGCCACGAGTAAAATCAAAGACGCGGGATTCATGTCCAGAGTATTATTCTACAAGCAGCTCGCGAATCAATGAAATGGCTTTAAGTAATTATTAGCAGGTATCAGCTTACTGTACACTTTGTTTAATTTGGTTTTAAATTACCCAGCTGACCACTTGTTTGCTCTTAGCTTTTGTTTCAAGCAAGAAAGAAACGACGCGTTTTATATGAGGTCATAACCTGCTATAGAAACGATTTTGAAATGATTTTGTTATTCTTTCACGTCAGAGACTGCATTTGTGATGGAAATAACGCTCTAGAAAAATAAAACATTTTAGAGCTAATTCTTTGTTTTTCTCAACCTGGCAAAATGTGGCCGGTTGCCACATTGCTGAAATGCATTTTATGCTAATCACTGTCTCTAATTAATTTAAAAAAGGCCCTGGTATGTTTGCATGATTGAGATCTCTTTAATGCATCTCCCCATTCCTTTTTCCTGCATTGAATCCGGAAAGTAACCATGCTAGCTTTCGTTTTGAACTTTTTTCATCACTAAAATAAAATAACTCACCTTTCATCTGTATCAACAATGCAACATCAATATTTATCATTAAGAATGCGATGGCAGTACCTTATACTTTTATCCATGGTGAGAAGAGACGGCTAACAACAATGTATTTTCAGATAAAAATGAAGGGTGAATTTTTTTTTGTTTCTTTACACTATTGAGTGAAACTTCTATGAAATATATATATTTTTTATTAACTCAATTTCGTTTCAAATGACAAAAGGTTCCAACGGTATTTCATAATCCCTGGCCCTTAGCCGCACGCTTTAAAATGATCGTCGTCTTGTGATTTCAAGTAAATTGAATGAATAACTTTTAAATTGTGACGAAATTATCCAGGATTGGACTTATTTTCCTTTACTTTTCTTGATGAATGGCAAAACTAAAGCCATTGACGACTTATTCATTCTCGTTTGCTGGCGCTTCGGACAGTTTATTAGCTATTTAATTGATACTGACATTGAAAATCTAACATAACATGTGAAAGCGCCATCAACTGACGCGTGTCACTATTTACAAGACTTAAAATAATAAGAATAATAAACCTTTGTTTTTCACTCCTTTCATTCACGTATCAAATGGGAACAGACTTTTGAACCACGCCTTGTTTTAATAGATTCGAACAGACGTTTTATTAATTTGCTCACGCACGCATTTTAAACATTTCCATGTCTGAAGAAAAATCATGTAGACCGCTGAAGTAAGATCGTCCTATTTTTTTCTACTGAGAGAAAACGATAAAGGTTTCTCATTTGCTGTTATCTCATTTTTTGATT